CCAACATCTATTCCAGGGGTGCCTTATAGTGGTGTAATCCCCTTTACAAGGGGTGTTACCCCTGTGTAAACTCTAGCCACCCCTGTGGCCAACCCGATATGATTTTGCTGTTGACATTATTTATTTAAATCTACTTACATAAATGCAATAAAATGCAATATTTCAATAAATAAATAGCAGCCACTAAATTATTGTGGATTGATTGGTGCCACTGACGTAGCTGGCCTCTTCTGGCCCCCCTTAAGCAAATTTTCAGGGAGGCACCACTGGTCTATTCTCTGTCTTTAAGTGTTTGAAACTGAAAATATCTTATCATATAAAACAACCAAAAATGTTATGGTTTATTAGATTAAACATTTAATATGTACGTCTATTTTAGTATTTTGGTTATTGTTATTAAACAGTGCAGCAATATGAATCATATCAAAAAGCATGAAAGGAAGAGGGAACACGACACAAATTGTGAGTTTGCATATAATCTCTGAGAGCGCTCAAGAAAATTTGTGTGTGAGCAGTGCATATTTGAGAGCGAGAGAAAATTTGCGCGTGAGCAGCGTATATTTGAGAACTCGCAATCAGTTTTGTCCACAAACAGAGGAAATCCGTGCCCGAGCATCACACAAGGTAGAGAGCAAAGCTCTTCAACGTTATGTGAAGAAAACAACGTTATTGTTTGTATGAAGTAGCCTACTTTATTAACAATATGTGCTACCATTTTACATTGCTGCTAGACAGATTTGCAACTCCATCTCTTTAGCACACACGAGATTCAATTGACAAAATTCCAATTTCACTCAATTTAACTTTGCAGCATATACAGGAGTTGGTCTACTGCTACCACATTGAGGTTATGTAATTTTGGTTAATCACAAGTTGATCACCGAAGTCATAATATAGCACAACTAAACTTTATGAATTAGACAGCAGGAGACCTGCAATTTCTGTGTGATGTGAGGCAATATGGAGTCTTTTTTTGGTGGAACTCGTTCTTGTGCATTATGCTTTGGAGACGAGACGCAGCACTGTTCAGTACTTTTTCAGAAAATTGCGTTTGTATTTTTATATATCTGAGCGATGTTCTTTCATAAAAAAGGTTTGTTTAATTAATACAGATCTTACAACCATACCTAATCTGTATATATTTTATTTTTCTGTTAAAAAGACTCGAAAAGACTCGAAAATCAAACTGCAGGACTTTGGACTTGACTTGAGACTTGTTGCCTTTGACTCGGGACTTGACTCGGGACTTGCCTGTCTTGACTCGGGACTTGACTCGGGACTTGAGGGCAATGAATTGAGACTTACTTGTGACTTGCCAAACAATGACTTGGTCCCACCTCTGCCAGGCACTGAGCCACCCTAGTGCCAGATGGAGGATCAAGGGCACGTATGTACATAATGTATATATTGTATATAGTTATAGAATAAGTTTGCAATGCATTCAAAAGGACTTTACATTCATGTTTTCTTCACATTGCTGGATGTTTTGGTGATTGTCGGTGCTGTTGATTCGGCTCTTGGGTTCATTTGGACGTTGACATGCGTTTAGCAAGGTTTTCTAGGCGGTTTCTTGCGTGTTGCTGGTCTCCTCTGAGTGGTTTTTGGATCATTAGTGGTTGTTAGGGTTGTTAGCGTTGGCTGTTGGGTTAGGGTAGGTTAGGGTCCCTCACACGGTTTGCAGCTTGACGTGCTGTGAGGGCTTGTGTGCATCAGTGATGCTGAGAGCTACGCCACTGGTACTTCACAGCTACCGGTAGGGTCACCCATAGTGGACAGGTCTCAGCTGAGATGCCCGACCAAGACAAACCACCTGATTCTGGACAGCAGAAGATGGCCTGATGCTCCAGACAGAAGATGTCAACTTCAAAATCTCTCTCACACTCTCTTTCTCTCTCACACTCTCTCTCTCTCATACTCACACACACACACACACACACACACACACACAATAAATAAGAAAAAAAGAATAAATCTTACCGACATTAATTAAATAATTACTGGTAAAAAAATATTTACCTTAATTTAAAGAATATTTAAAATTTTGGGAAAAAATATACTTTTTCAATATTTTAAAATAGGATTATATCATCAAACACGTAACACTGATGGTCCTTTGGTAAAATAAAAATTAGTGAAATGACCACCGAAAGAAGACTTCAGTTCATTATTGTAATAAATGTGAAAAGAAGCAAGTAAACATTTACAAAAATAATCTACAATACAAAGAAATTCATACAGATTTAAACGGCACAAAAGTGTGTAAATGATGACAAAATGATTTTGTGTGTGTGAATTATCCCTTTATTAAACAAAAGTTTATTGCACTTTTTTGCATTTTAATATGAAATTCAAAATGAAAATAATCCTGAAAATCAGAATGTAAATCTTCCAGTAGGTGGTCATAATGTCTATTGAGTGAGACGATTGGGTCAAACAACTGAATCATTCAACAAAGAAGTAAAGCGCTGTCTGGACTGTTTAAAACATTCAGAGTCATTCAGAAAGTAGAAACACACAAGATCTCATGTGGCCTTTAAGGTAATGCTTTACACAATTATCAGTACTTTTTTCATTTTTAATACAAAAGGAAAATTTGACCTAATTTACAACATTCTCAAATCTGACTGCAGTGTTTATAATTATTGCAATACATTTTAAAAATCCAGTTTTCAGTGTCAAGAAGTCAGATTAACTGTTTTGTTAGAAATAACTGGAAATGGATTAGAATGGATTTAAAACACATCAGATTCCTCTAATGAATCATGCTCACTTAATTTCTCTAGATGAGATGCCTAAAGACATTTTCCTGGTGCATGATTGTTCATGAGGCATTTTTCCATTTTTACATTACATACATCCCCATTCATTACTATTTTCCTTTTTTACAGAGGGTGAAAGAACCTTTAATACCATTTTACCAATTAGTGATGGGAAGTTTGGGTCATTTTACTGACTTGGACCTTTGAGTCTTGTTCAGTGAGATAAATGAATCTTTTTTCAGGTCGCATGGTTATTTCGTTCAATTTGCCAAAATATTATTAAAATGATAAAATGAGTTGCTACCAAACTAATCTACAACTACATCAAATGTTGATCACACTACAAACAAGTCACAACTAGAACGAGAGAAAATAATCATTTATTGTAAACCTGGTCTTTCGTCTGTGATCATGTCAGCACAGGTGTCAGGAGAGGCGAGTTCGTTTCAATGGTTCATATGGTTTGAGGCGTTCGTTCATCACGTGACCGCATTTAAAGGGAGAGAGGACTCATGAAATAACGGATCAAATCTTTTTCCAGCTCTAAATGCATACGTCTGGCTTCTGTCTTTCATGTGATCAACGAATGACTCAAACCCGATAGAGGACTCGAAAAAGGAGCTACTTCTAATCCACCTGCACAAAAATGCGAATTTGCAAACAAACAAATCCCTCCCTGAGAGGACGCATTGTGCTTGAGTCATACAAAAGATTTTTTTGTAAAATAACCCATCATTAATATAAATAAATCTGCTTACAACATTTTATTTCCTGAGCTTCAAGCTTTAGCCTGATAGCATCACTAGCCAGCTAAAGCTATGAGCTTCTTTCACTTACTGTCTTGGCTCTTCACCTTGTACAATGTCACTTGTGTGTTTTTCTTTGAGTGCAGGAGAAGCATCGGTTGGAGCTGGAAGCTGTGGAGAAACAGATCTGTGACCTCGAGATGAAACTAGTACAGCTCCGGGAACAACAAGCCTTGCTAGACGTCTCTCAGGCTGCGGCTCGCTCATCTGACGTAAGTGTGCGATACAATCTCAACACTGCTTCCACCTCAGCCCCGTGTGTTTCTCTGTCCAGGCCAAGCACACCGGGGAAGCGGCACGCCAAGATGTCGTTCACTCCGGCACCAGGCCATCGCGGGCCCCTAGGTGCAGTAGTGGTGGATACGAACCAGGACGTATGGCAGGGTCTCTCCTCTAGCACCACCTTCAGTATTTGAGATCCCTATACAGAGAACCCTCCATGCGACGTCACAATCATCAGCGATTCCATCGTTCGTCATGTCCGTGCTACTTCTGCTAAAGGTAATAGATGTATGCAATCACTGCTTTTCTGGTGCTTGTGTTAAGGATGCTTCTGCTAAGGTACCCGCAATCTTGAACGCTGGTGAGAACATAAGAGCTGTTGTCCTGCACATGAGGACAAACAACACAAGGCTAAGGCAGACAGAGATCCTGAACAAGGACTTCAAGAGACTGACTGAGACGGTCAGGCGCACTTCACCCTCTTATTTATATTTATATATTGCTTTCTGAGACGTGGAGCACAGAAGCTCCTGACAATCTGGAGGTAATAAATAATATAATAACACTAATATTGAAATGGTTAGGGCATTTTAGAATGACCAAAACAACATTTTAGATGTTATATAATGTGCTCAGCCTCCTTGTTTGTCCATTCACGCATGTTTTTAATCACATGATTTCTTACAATAAAATCACATGACTTTTTTTTAATTCACATACCGAAATTTGCGCTGTAAAAGCATTTCCATCATAGTTTAAGCACATCTTTTCTTACTGAATCCAAAATGCGCATAAAAATAGGTGGATGGAAACGTAGCTACAGATCTGTGACCTCGAGATGAGCTTTGGGAACGAGCCTTGCTTGACATCTCTCAGGCTGCTGCTCGCTTATCTGAGGTAAGTGTGCAATGCAATCTCAACACAGCGCTCCCTCACGCTCATTAGCATAGACCGCCCTGAATGAGAAGCAGCCGTCTGCCAATAGTTTTGAATCTGCCACTATGCTGACACATAGGCAATTATAGCTCCACCCTCTTTTGAAAAGAGGGATGGGAGCACAATCTCATTTAAATTTAAAGGGACAGTCACCAAAACAGCACAATTTGACACGCTCTAGGGACATTAGAGACTTATTTTCATGTTGTTAAAAGGGGCATAATAGGTCTACTTTAAAACATGTTTAAACAGCAATTAAAGCACAAGACAAAAATACTAATATCTACATTATTCAGTGTTTATTTGCACCAATATTTATTATTATCACAAATATGTCTTCAAAATGCAGACTTGCATCTGTCTTTATATAAACTGTACATGAAGGCAAGGCACTATACAATGCAGAAAAGAAGGAGATTTTCTCTTTTTCCACAGTTTCATTCAATCCTGTTCGAAGAGACTCACGCGCCGTATATATTCACAAACACTCTCTCACGTACACACACGCATAGGGTTCAAGTTCAAGCATCTAGCTGGAAGGTTAAAATAATCTTTAGGCCATTCATGAGAGCAGGTTTGAACATACTTACATAAAGTGCTCCGTTGAGCTTTCTTACATTCACATAATCACTAAAAGGCATTTTTATTGGAGTTATTTCATGGGTGTTAATATCAAGATGGCCAGCAGTGTATTAGCGCTGCCTTGTGCATGTTGGACGGTGATACAGTATGTGGAGAAACGCAGATCTATGAAAATGGGAGCAAAACAAGCTGGGGAGCACTCAAAACATTCAGAAAACAAATCTCTAATTCACTGATCAACAAACAAACAAAAAAATACAAAAAAGGAAGAAGAAAACAAGACAGAAATGTGCTACAAGAGGCTGGTAAACCCCTGCCAATCTGTGTTCTTTTTTCTTCCTCCAGCTTCTTTTCAGCTCCCCGTGTGATTTGACACAGGTTGATATTTTTACTTGCGTTTGTCTGTTCTGGTTCAAAAGGAATGAGAGCATTTTCTCTTTCAGATTCCTGGAGTTCCTTTAAAACAATCCTTTGGCTTTCTTCACATTCACTTGCTTCCATCCAGGCAGTGCCTCATATTCACTTCTCGTCATCTCCAAAGCTTTCTGTAAAGAGCATGAACACACACATATACATATATAGAGATTTTAATGGATTAAAAAAACATCACCCAGGGCTCTGAAGTGTTAGAAAAAGACAATGATTGATGACACACACACACACATACACCATTCACCAATACAAAAAAGTGATTATCTAATATTAAAGTATTAATGATATCAAATAGCAATGATGAAAATATTGGTTTTATATCATTTAGCAGCTGGTCTAAGATTTTTTTAAAGGGAAATTATAGGTGTATATTGGGTAATGCTGCATTCTTATTTTACCTTATATTTACATCTTATTATATTGTTGTAACCCTCTACAGTAATACTTAATACAATTTCAATGTTAATAAAGATTAAGTCTGTTATCTCGATCAACTCTCAGTGTATCTCGACCCATTTAACCTTGTGTTTATGTTTTAGGTTATTTGACCAGTGTTATTTTAGCATCTTTATGCTATTATTGTAGTTGTTATTAATACATATTTTAAATTATTAAAATTAATGTGTTTTTAAAAAATTCTTTAGGCTATTTGTTTACAACAGGGGTTACAACAAACTCTGTCCTGGAGGGCCGGTGTCCTGCACATTTTAGTTCCAACTCCAATTAGACACAACTGAACTAGCTAAACTAGCTTTTTCTAGGTAAACTAGAAACCTCCAGGCAGGTGTGTTGAAGGAAGTTGGAGCTAAACTATGCAGGACACAGGACCGAGTTTGGACACCCCTGCTTTATAAAAAGGTCTATAAAGTTTTCATTCCTTTCAAATATCAGTTTTAGTTATTAGTTAAGTATTAAGTTAAGTATTAAATTAAGTATTTACTTCTTTAAAATTTCTTTTTTCAAGCAACTAAAGCGAATACTAATTTTTTGATTGACAATAGTAGGCCTATACAATTTTAATTTTGGCCATACATTGGTTTTGTCAACAAAATGAAGATCTATTTAGAAAAACTTATTACTATATCCTTAATATACCATCAGCCATGCCTAATTAAAAGGACATGTCATACACTACCATAAAAAATATAATAATAACCCTTAGGCTTTGTAAATGACCACAATAAGGCCCCGTTTACACAAATACGTTTTAGATTTAAAACGCTGTTTTAGAATGAAAACACTCCACGTCCACACTGTCGTTTTAACTAGTATTTCTGAACAGCTCTGCATCCACACAATACCGCTGAAAATGCACATCACGTGACCACACACACAGCATATGCTCACCTCTGAGCTCCAGGCAGTCAGAGAGTGCTTTAACCACAGGTCGGACAGTTCACCAATGATTTACCACTGGATTTTATCCTACCGTAGTTGTTAAGTGTAATATTTCATTCATAATTCTCTATATAATGGTCTTTTGAATTTATAACTTTTTTTCAGGTAATGCAATTTGGCTGAGCGCAAAGATAATTCATTATAGCCTATTCATTTACTTAACCACGCACACATATTCTGCATATTGACTTATTGCTTGCCTTTATTTTTTTATATTGTATATACATATTGTATGTTATACTATTATAATGGCCATTATTGATTATTAAAACTGATATTCAGCAAAAGAGAGGGCATGTTTCATATGTTCATTGAAAATTAAAGGAGGCAGTAATGTTATAGGCTCCATTTTGTTATAAATATGCAGATTGCTATTACTGTGTTTAACTTGAAGTTAATGATATATTTAATAACTTAAAAGTTTGAAATGAAATAGCTTCACAATCATTTAATTTTTATATCATGTTTATTTTATTACAGCATGACAATTTAAAATATTAAAACATTAAATTCATGCAAATTAACGCTAACTTGACTGACCTTTTATGAATATAAACATCATCACTGCACAAAGAGGATCCAAACAGCTTTTACAGCCTGTCTTTCAGGCTCTCTCTGGAGGAGAGTTGTGCCATGCGGTCGTCACACCACAACTGACGTAATTTATTTAACAAATTGTGATAATATAATATTCCTTATACACTTCATATACACTTCATAAAGACTGTTATACTGTGTGATGCATAAATTAAATGCAAATGCATATTGTCGTTGCTTTAAATGTCTTACTTGCACTTTAAGTTTGCCCACTGTCTATTTTCAAGCGCATTAGGTGGACGTGGAAAACTTACTGAATTTACTCGGAAACATATAGTAGGAAGGTCTCTGTTGTGCTTGGGGTTGAAAGAGTGAGAAATATAGTTTACACAGATATTTAGCGTGCCTACGACCTGTAAGTATTCTTTTAGAGATTAGCGTTAAAAGGTAATCTGTACAAAACATCGTTGTGTACGTAATATGGTTAGTCTACGTTTGCCAAGGTGATGTGAATGACGTTTTAAAGACTGTTTTTACCCTATGTGTCCTCGGGAGTTTGTTTTCATATCAAACTTGAAGTCTGAACTTAAGAGAAGTGTACATAATATTAAGGAAATAGCTCAAATCTTTGTTTTCAGACGTCTTCGTTTTCCCCCATCCATACTGACACGGAGCAGCAGTGTTTTAAAACCAAAATGGCCTCTCTAGCATTTTCAAAACACTCCGTTTTAAGGACTCCAAAACTCAGGTGTAGTGTGGACAGAAGACGTAACTATAGCAAATAGAATGCATTTTAAAACCAAAACTTATTACTGTAAACGGGGCCTTAATCTCACCAAAGCTGAATTTATTTGATCAAAACTACAATAAAAAAGTAAAAACATCCTATATCATTAAAAAACTAAATTCTGAAAAACAATTCTATGGTAGCTGAGTTCAATCTGAGCAGCTATTACTCAAGTATCCTTCATAAATCACAGTTGAGTATGGCTTTTAAAATATACAATTCAGAAATTTCAAAAATGTCTTTTGATCAATCTAATGCATGCTTGCTGACTAAAATAATATATTTATGTGTAAAAAAAACACTTAAATGATTCCAAACTGTTAAATCTATAGTGCATATTTATCAGCAAATAAAACACCAAATAAAAATGTCACCCCATGCGTGAGACATATCAGTGGTGAACGATGACCCAAACAATGCTAGATACTATGCAGTTTGTGCCAAAGCATGTAGTGATGTGCTTCACACAGTGAGGATGCAGCATTAGTGGGAAAACACCAGTGTTCCTCAGAAAACAAAACTCACCTTCCCAGAAGCCCCTACACCCTGGCATGTGAAGGGAAAAATTAACCTCAGTCAGACGCAAGACTATACCAGCAAAAAGGGGGAGAAGCAGAAAGATGCAGGGAGAGACAGGTTAAGAGAGGCTGCTTTAAAGATGACATAGTGGAGGCAGAAAGGAGAAATATGAAGATGATGACAGGGAAAAAAAGGCAAAATAAAAGTAGATAGTACTGAAATGACAGAACATATGAGCACACACAGGAAGACTGAAGTTGCAGCTACAATAATACATACTGTATACTCTCACTGGCCACTTTATTAGGTATACCTAATATACTTATGAACTGAACCCCATTTTTACCTTCAGAACTGCTTTAATCTTTCGTGGCATAGATTCAGCAAGGTACTGGAAATATTCCTCAGAGATTTTGGTCAATATTGACATAATAGTGTCACGCAGTTGCTGCAGATTTGTCAACTGCAAATCTATGATGCAAATCCCCAGTTCCACCACATCCCAAAGGTGCTTTATTGGATTGAGGATCTGGCGACAGTGGAGGCCATTTGAGTACAGTGAACTCATTGTCATTTTCAAGAAACCAGTCTGAGATGATTCGTGCTTTATGACATGGCGTGTTATCCTGCTGGAAGTAGCCATCAGAAGATGGGTACACTGTGCTCATGAAGGGATGGACATGGTCAGCAACAATACTCAGGTAGGCTGGGGCGTTGACACGATGCTCAATTGGTACCAAAGTGTGCCAAAAAATATCCCCCACACTATTACACCACCAACACAACTTGCCTGAACTGTTGATACAAGGCAGGATCCATGCTTTCATGTTGTTGATGGCAAATTCTGACCCTACCATCTGACTGTTGCAGCAGAAATCGAGACTTATCAGGAGGCAAAGTTTTTACAATCTTCTATTGTTCAATTTTGATGAGTCTGTGCAAATTGTAGCCTCAGTATCCTGTTCTTAGCTGACAGGAGTGGCACCTGGTGTGGTCTTCTGTTGTTGTAACGAGTTGTAACGAGTGGTTATTTGAGTTACTGTTGCCTTTCTATCAGCTCGAACCAGTCCGGCCATTCTTCAATGACCTCTGGCACCAAGAAGGCATTTGTGCCCACAGAACTGCCGCTCACTGGATATTTTCTCTTTTTTGGACCATTCTCTGTAAACCCTAAAGATGGTTGTGCGTGAAAATCCAAGTAGATCAGCAGTTTCTGAAATACTAACAGCCATGCCATGTTCAAAATCACTTAAATCCCCTTTCTTCCCCATTCTGAAGCTTGGTTTGAACTGCAGCAGATCGTCTTGACCATGTCCACATGCATTGAGTTGCTGCCATGTGATTGGCTGATTAGAATTTAGCCTTATCGAGCAGTTAGACAGGTGTACCTAATAAAGAGGTCAGTGAGTGTATACTCATGAATGTGAATGTACAGTTAGGGGTATGCAAAAATTGTCTTTTATTATGCCATATTTGTTTTAATAATGTGCATTCTGGTATTATTGATTGTCACTAATAAACAAAATGCCTTTTGACAGCCCAAAAACACTGATTGTGTGATTAAACGTGTTAGGATAAACATACAATTCAAATTTATAAAAGTCAAAATTTCCTTGTAAAAACATACAAGAAAGAGTGCAATTTCCCCTAAATATCTGCAATTAAGTGCAATCATAATTGTACAACTGATTTTAAAAAAGGCTATTTTTTTTTAGATTGTAATTATATAACCATTAATACAGCCATTAATATGTCTCAGAGCAACATTCAATGTTTCATTACTGAATTAATCTCTTTGAGAAAATCAGGTGAATGATTCAATAATTCATTAATAAAGTTAATGAAAATTAAGTACACAAAATGACAAATCATTTACTTATAATCGAATCAGCCAATTGAAAGAACCATTTAAATGAGTGATTCAATGGATGACAGGAATTTTCCACAATGTACTGGCATTTAAAGTATTATATTTTTATCGATTCATACCTAAACTAAAAAGCACTAGCACAGAACACACTAAGAAAAACATTGTTCATTTATCATTACAGTGGTCCCTCGCTATAATGTGGTTCACTTTTCACGGCCTTGCAGTTTCACCAAATTTTTTCGTGCAATTTGACATGCTTTCTTTTTTTTTACAGCACTGTGTTCTGCATCCTAATTAGCACATTGTGTTCTGCATCCTGATTGGCTGTAGACCATTGTCAATCAATCTCCTCCATGGAGTGTCTCATGTACAGTACAGAATCTGTTCAGCTTGCCAAATGTACATACATCTTCGATTGCTGGCAGTGTGACTGAAGTGCCTTACTTTATGTTTGCAAGTTTTCTCCCCACAATTGTCATTGTCAAAGGCACCTGCAGTAGCACCCAAAAGGCAGAGGAAGTTGCTAACCATCACACAAAAAGCTGAACTTCTGGACATGCTAAAGGAAGGTAGAAGTTACGCGGCTGTAGGGTGCCATTACTGAATAAATAAATGAAGATCAAATGGTTTTTGGTTTTATTCTATAATAGTGGACTTATTTTTCTTCGAAGGTTTGAACTTTGAATGTGTTTAAATGAGAGAAAAGTGTGAAAATGTTAAAGGTTGTGAGAGAAAAGTGTATAAAGCAGGCATGTCCAAACTCGGTCCTGGAGGGCCGGTGTCCAGCAAAGTTTAGTTCCAACCACAATCAGACACACCTGGGCTTGCTAATCAAGCTCTTACTAGGCTTTCTAAAAACATCCCTGGAGGTGTGTTGAGGCAAGTTGGAGCTAAAATCAGCAGGACACCGGCCCTCCAGGACTGATATTAGACACCCCTGGTATAAAGTGTGCAGTGAAGGGTTTTACAGCCTTAAAACAATATAATAATTGTAAAAAATAAAGCGGACTACTTTGTGGATTTCACCTATTGTGGTTATTGTTAAAACGTATCTCCAGCGGATAATAAGAAACTAATGTATATAAACAAAAGTTCCTTCATAATACTTAAATATAATTCAATATATCGCACACCCCCTCTGTCCCGTGTCTGACAACTTCACTATAGTTAAATGATTCATCAAGAAGAGTTAAGTCTGGCTTACTTGCTTACCTTTGAAACTAACTAATAAAGTTGAAACACTATTGTTTTGATCAAATGAGGGATTGTGAAACCATGTTAATGTGATTTTTCTCACCTCAAAGTCCTCATCTGATAAGTAGGTTTCAAGACGTAGAGGGTCGACACCTTCCGGTAAGGGACGTGCTTTTAGTTCAGCCAGTGGGTAAGTGGTCTTGCAGAGTCGGCTCAAGACATCTTCAACAAGAATGATCTGATGACATACTTCGGCCTCCTGTAAAGTCAGACAAAAAAGATTTCAGAAAAGAGAATTAGTGTCTAGCTTGAGGACACCTTAACCTGAGCATGAGAACTACTAATAAAGATTCATATTCTTAAAACTTAAATAAAAATGGCACATGCATTTAACTTTCTTTTCTCACCTTCTCTGTGATTTCAGCGATGTCCTCTCTGTGTTCCCAGCTGGGAAACATGTTGGTGAATGTAAGAGGCTCCAGTCCTGCATGGATCAGGTAGGATTTTGGTGTCTTTTTCTCATTTTTTTCTAAAAAAAACAAAGGTTAAGGAAATCCTGTTATTGATAAAAGTCACAACATTACTGTCATTTATTTAAATGACATAATTATAACAAACTAGTTAAACATTTAAACGAATTTAAACAAATGAAAAAAATATATAATACAATTATTATAATGTAATTATTCATAAATGTTTATATTAGAACAGTTTTATACAATAACATAGTTTAAATAAATTACATTTAAAAAGCTTTTGCATTTTCTTATTTTAGATGACAATTTTAAAATTTGGTAAACACCTTGAACTACCATTGGTCTAATTATGCAATAGATGGCTGTGGTTTTGGGGCTACACCTCCAACATTAAAGCCAAAGTTTAAACAGAGTTAGTGATTTGCTTAGAACAGTCCAGTATGTCAACCAAAGCTCTTAAAATGTTGGCTTTTTGACTGAAAATTAAAAATAAAAATGATAAAAAGAGAATTATACAATCACACTATTTTCTTTCTTTCCTAAAATGGTCTTTAAAAGGTGTCACACACTTTATTTATTTATTTTTTAGATATTTATCATTTGTTTCTGTGCCAACAAAACAATTCAGAATTATATATTAAAAATCAATCGTTTAAGCGGACTTCCTGTGCATTTCAAAATACAATTTTGTAACTTACAAAACCTGAATGATATCCAATATGGAGAAAATAAAAATAAGGAGAGAACTTATCTACTAAATTAATGAAGCAGCAAAAAGATAAAAGTTAAACAAAATGATAATAGTAATTGAAGAATCCAGGGCTAAGACTTCCACAAAAATGTCAACCTTGCCATAAAACTTTTCACCAAAACTGCGAAACAGTTTCTACGTTTTTTGTGTAAACAAGTATTTTACAGTACCTTTAAATACTCAAAAATGTCTCTCTCAATGTTTTCAAACAATTATATTTGATTTACCAAAGTCACAAAAGTTCCAATTTCACATTTGTCACATCTATAACAAAGCGGTGTGACTTCCAAAACAAAGCTTTTTCCTCATAAATGTAAAAATTTTAAATAAATCTATCATTTTTGTTTTTTTAGTCAGCCAACTATTATCCTTTTAAGATAATTTCTTTTGGGTTGTGCAGTTTAATTCACACAATTTATACAAAGTATGTTGTAAACTGTAAACATACAGTTTTTTAGTCACATTCATAACGCATGTTTTATCCTCATTTTAAATGTAAAAAAAATTGTACAGATGGATATTTTTCTGATCCCATAACTCTGTGATTAATTGTTTTGGAAAATATAAACAGATGTTTCAATATAATGTTAACATATAGTTTCTCTGTGAATTTACATTTTGAGTTTTTACTGCAAATGTCACTTCCATAACGCTGGAATTGATCAGGTACAACATGATGACTGTTGCAGAGTTACATTACACTATATATCCATTTTAACATGGTTGATTCTTGAAGACCAAAATTACTCTGTAAAATCGCCTTTTTTTAGTTTTAAAGAGAAAGTAAGGGTTTCCATCTTACAAAGTTTTATTACAATTGCTTTGGCTTCTTTTAGAGTGTCAGATATGACTTTTTAAATCACCTTTGCTATACTGGAGCACAGTTTCCATTGCACACTTCCTGTCAGAGTCCCACCGTATGCGAGCTGAGCCTGTGCTTTCACTGTCCTGAGGCCACCAGCCCTGCCACAGGTAAACTTCATGATGATTATCCACCAAAAACAGGGCTAAAAGACAAATCAAACAGAAGAAGCAGCGTCACAATAGCATCACAGAAGCACCTCATGATTTTTTTTAATGAGAAGAATTACATTTCCCTCATACATCATGCATGCAAAGAGTGTAGAAAATCCTTCTTAAAATGTAACGGACACCCACACAGAATACCTTAACAATACGATTGAGCAGACGGCACACTTAGAAGAGTTTAGCAGACATGAATGTGTCAAGCACCTGGCTGAGTAGCTGTATACAAATCCTCCTGGAGGAAAGGCATCGAGTTAACCAAATTTGGTTCTCTGGATGGATATACAAACTCCACTGCTGCAAACTCTCCCGAGGCACTGCTTAACTGGAAAAGCCGAGGAGTGAAGTTGAACTTTCCTGGATCTGATACACAAGACAAAACTCATGAATGTAGGGATTTTAGACTGAAACAGAAGACTTTAGACTATTCACAAAATAAACTACTAATAATTAAATAGCCGTTCCATATGCACCAGACACTTTACTACAAAATCTCTATTATAAAGACTCAAAACTAACAACAATAATATAAAGAAGAACAATAACAGCAATAATAATAAACTGCTATGCTAACTTAGACTTGTCATGGTGTCTACAGTATATATTGCTGCTCTGTGGTGATTTAAAGTGCTTTTTAATCCTCATTATAAGTCATTATGGATAAAAGTCTGCTAAATAAGTAAATGGAAATTTAAACACACCTCAAATAGTATATTTATATAGCATATTTACTATAGTTACACTAAATTACATTTCAGTGGGTGTCTTCTGTAAATCATACTTAAAATGAAGGATAGATGAGTCATCTATCATCAAAAAATAATTACATTAAACAGTACACATTCTACAGTTTGGGAATCTTTAAAAGTCCCTTGAAGTGCTTTCAAATATGCATTTTTAAATAGATGTTTGATTTACTCTCAACAAAAAAAGAGAGTGTGGTAGAGAGTAGCTCCTCCCCTTTTTTTTAGAAAACAGCTAATATAGTTTAGTTGTTCTCACAGCTCTGCCAGTGAGAGTGGTTGAGCTCAAGCATATCAGTTAAAAAGCTAATGAGAAGGGTCTTAAAGGGGGTGGGATGTGTCAGATACTAGAGAGCATATCATTGGTCAAGATTTGATGAGAAACTTGAAAAAAAACTGTTGATCCATTTAGGCAGAAGTGTCAAACAAGCTTTACATGTTTATATCAAGTTTTATATTTTCTAAACACAAATGTTGTCATACTAATAATTTTGTACTACACTATTTTATAGATATCATTAAAGACTAAAATACAGATACTAACATCTTTAAACGCAACTTTAAGCTGCTTTATACTTTTTGTTTGGATGTCTGAACCCTTTCATGAAATTTTCAAAATTTCTGCGACCCACAATGTTAGCAAACATGTAGCAAGATATGATATGATATTATGATATTAGCAACAACCACCCCTTTTTTAATTTTTCTTTTTTTTTTTCCTTGTGTGTGTTCTAGTTTGTTCTAGTTTCTTACGCAGTTTATATGATGTTATTTATTTATTGTATTTATTTATTTGTATTGTTCTGCTTTTATGTTAATGCTCTGTATTTGATATTCATCTGCATTTTTGAAGTAAGAAAAATCTATAAAAAGTTCAAATCATAAAAAAAACTTTTATTGAAATGACAAGCCAACATTAAATGTTCATGCATTAATTATAATAGAAAAAAACAATACACAAAATATGAAACTAACACCATGAACACTTGTAATAATTCACACCATACTGTACATAATCCACTATCGCTTAACATAAATGGAGTACTTATCAAATACTCATCTAATTCAGTAAAAACTGCCATAATGATTCTAAAATGTGTAGCAATTGCACTAATAAATCACGTTACATGAGGTAAATGTACTTTTGTTGTAATATTTAATATAGTTTCTAATTTTTCATAACCTCAATTTTGATTAAACTGACCCTTCTATTAGCAAATTACGTCTAGAATGACCTTCAGAGTCTGATGTTTAACTTAGTCAAATCAGACAAACTTGACCACAATTAGACCTGTCTTTTAATTTCAATTACAAGATGATCGCTAGTTCTGCTCATAATATGCTGCTGCCTTTTTTATGGTAAATAATTAGTTTTCAAAACAATTCAAAATACATTTTCTGTACTTTGTGTATCTTTTTCTTTGTTTTGTCATGTTTGTTAACAGAACACAATGTTTTTAGCACCTCATTAATAATTTTGTTATCATAATTTTAGAATTATCATTGTTTTATATATATATATATATATATATATATATATATATATATATATATATATATATATATATATATATATATATAAATTTTATTTTTACTATTGTATGGTGAGTTTTGCTGACGTGAACTTCCCTTTGGGATTAATAAAGTCTGAACAAACCTTCTTGTAATGAACATGCAAACGTAAAATTTGTCTTGGAACAACACTTTAAAATTAGAAATGAAAGATTTCATCACCGAAATACTTAACACTTATGACTTAATCATAAATGTGCCATAAGACCAATTTTTCCTCGACTTTTGTCCTCACCCTGCAGCATGCAGTCGTACGCTTTTCGATCTCTTTTGCCCAAAGCCTCCCAGAAGCCCTGTGGTTCAGCTCCCTCATCACACTCCTGGATGGACACTTTACTGCTGCTGTGAAGCCCTGCCTCCAGAGGACATCTGGAGAGCAGAAAGTCAATATCAGGTCTCTGTTACCCTTCAGATGTAAAGTGTCATTGGTTTGTTTGTATGCAAGTCGACTCACTGCTCTTTGATTTTGTTTGCAGTGGTACGGCCCACGTCACGTGTGTGCACTTGTGCCTTGCAGCCATGCCACAGGTATAGGCTGGCTTTGGGGATGTTCAGGAGGATCATAGAGGTCCGGGATCGCAAGCTGCTGCAGTGACACACTGCCTCCAGCAGATGGCCCTCTATGGGTTTCTCTCCTCTCACACAGTACAATCGCCAGTCGTCTGTGCATTGAGAAATCAGGTCAAGTCCATATATTGCCATCTGATTTACATAATGTTTTTGTTTGAAAAAATTGTTAATTATAATAACAAAAAAGTAACTAATATTAAAAAAAAGTGAAAAATGTAGGTTATGTCAGTAAAAGTGATTACTTTGTGTATTGTCTTCCTCCTCTTCTCTTTTTCCAGCATGAACAATCATTCCTCCATTGAAGCACTGTAGGAAACAAGGAGGCTCCTTTCCTTGCTGTACCTGGACCTGCGTAACATAAAAAGAAATCTACCCTTTAAACATATGAAGACTTGAGATTTTTTGAACAAAATTACTAAATATAATCAGCAAAGAGCACATTTGATTGATAATTACAATTACAATATTATTTTAAAATCTAAAAAAAAAATTTTTTTAGCTATTTTAAACTGGTTGATTTATAAAAAAATCTGAAATATTCAACCAAAAAATAAAGCACAACAACTATTTTTAAAATGGGAAACAAATGCTTCTCCACAGGAATAAATTATACCACAACAGAAGTTATTTAGAAAATAAATGCTGGTTGATGGCAACCATTGATTTCCATCGTATTTCTTTTTGACAAATGATTAACATCATCCAGCTTTTTTCAAAAAATCGTCTTTTGTGTTTAACAGAATTAAGAAGTTTAAAGGTTTAAGAGAGTAAACAGTGATTTGTAGTGATTCAGTAATACACGTAATTCATTTTAGCCAATGGATGTGATCCTATACTGCTCTTTCGGGAAGCATTTTATGTCAGTACTTCCTTACTAGCATGTATTGTCTTTGTAAACACAATGCTTTGTTTGTTCAGTGCTTAGTTCAAGATTTCCTTTCCCCTTTAAGCGAGTGCTGACAAAAAAAAAAGTGATGATGATATTTTTTGATTATGTAGAGCAGTGTTTCCCAATTTCAGTCCCCTTGGTGGTAAACATTAATAAAAAAAGACACATTCATTTGCTCTAGTGGAACGTCTGTCTATGACAATTTGTTTACAATTGAACACAGAAAGATATTTCACCAAAAATTAAAATTAATTCTAAGAAAGCATAAAATGAGTTTTAAGTTTAAAACAAATCAATAAAGCACCTGAGCTCCTCTTTCCTCATCCAGCTCAACAGTCATCAGTGCTGACGTTCCCTTTTCATTCACCGTAGAGTTACGACCCTGCCAGAAGAAATAACAACATTTCTCCTTCCCTGGACCGATGATTCTTTCTGAATGCAGTCTCTTGCCAACTACACACACACAAAAGCAGAGAATAAACAACAGCAAAAGCAACAACAAGATATACAGTTGAAATCAGAAGTTTACATACACTTTAAAAAAAAAGAACATAACCTTTTAAAAAAAAAAAATGTCTGTTGACAATAAACGTTTATTATTTTAGGTCCGTTAGGATTACCTAAATGATTTAAATTTGTTAAATGCCAGAATAATAACTTTTTTTTGTTTGTTAAATCAGTTTCTAGATAATCACACGTTTACATACATTTCCTTGGTGTTTTTTAAGCTTTGCTTTTCAACTGTATAACTTTGGTCAAATCTTTTAGGTATACTTCCACAAGCTTCTGACAATAGTTTGCAGCACTTTTGGCCCATTCCTCCTGACAGAATTGGTGTAACAGAGTCAGATTTGTTGGCTGTCTTGCTCACACACGCTTTTTCAATTCTGCCTACAAATTTTCTATAGAATTGAAATCAGGGCTTTGTGATGGCCACTCCAAAACTTTCATTCTGTTTTCCTTAAAGCACTTTTTAACTAATTTGGCAGTATGCTTAGGGTCATCTACTGTTTTGAAGACCCATTTGTGGCCAAGTTTTAATTTCCTGGCTGATGTCTTATTTCTACATAATGTTCTTTCTTCATGATGCCATCTATGCTGTGAAGTGGACCAGTCCCTCCTGCAGCAAAACAGCTCCACAACATGATGCTGCTGCCCCCATACTTCACAGTTGGGATGGTGTTCCTAGGCTTGTAAGCTTTCCCCTTTGTCCTCCAAATGTAACACTGGTCATTATGGCCAAACAGATCTTAGTTTCATCAGTCCACAGGACATGTCTCCGAAAATAATTATTTTCCCAGTGTAATTTAGCAAATTGTAATCTGACTTTTTTTTTTTGTTGATTCTGGCTTATTGATTGTCCCATGTTGTCACACAGGGAAGTAGTGTGTTTGAGGTTTTCCTTAAATACTATTCTACAGTTGTGCCTCCAATTAACTCAAATGTTGTCAATTAGCCAATCAGAAACTTCCAAAAATTGACACCATCATCTGAGCTTTTTCAGAAGCATAATAATCTTATTTTATGTAAACTTGACTTTAAAGAAAAGTTATAATAATTTGTCAAAAATATCTCTCTCATTATTCTGCTATAAGCAGAAACAAATTTGATAATCCTAACTTACCTAAAAGAGACAAAGTTTAGTCACATTAACATCTGACTTTTTTATGCTTAAATAGTTATGCTTTTCCTGATAGCAGTTAACTTATCCGCCACTAGTGTCACTAATAACAAGGTTTTTAAACTACACTCTGGTCTCAGACAAGGCCAGTCCTAGACTAAACTGAAAATAACTTGCAGTTACAAATCTTTAAATGCTTTAAGTGGCATAGACATGTCTCAAGATGCACACTTTTAGCGTGTTTTTCGTAATAACTTCCAGAAAAGTTGCTTAAATAGCTTAATTAAAGGCCTAGTCCTGGATTAGACTATAAATTTAGCACCTTTAAACTTATTTTAGGTAGTTGTGAAAGCAATATTGCTATGTTATACATTTTATTGTTGGTTTTATTTTTATTTTTTACTGAAAACATTCAACTCACCTGCTCTGCTGATCATGTACTTCCATTTGACCACGTATGTGTCACCTTCATGAAACTGACCAATGCTCTGTTTGGGTAGTCGACTAGAACAAGCAAAGAGGAGACAGTGTTTGTATATAAATCGGCATTTATGTAAGAGTTTCACAAAGTAACTGACCCACCCTACCTGTAGTCAAACTCTAAAATATGCCAGACATCCACAGACAATGTGCTGATCTCAAAATTACGTCCCTCTTCACCTTCCACTAATCCATATCCTCGTCCAATGTTCACCCCATCCAGAACGGTCCTGACTGGCGCCCGTAATGCAGATAGCATCAGAGACGCATCATAGGGCCGACATTCACCACTCCGAAGCTCCTACAGAATTTAATAAAGCAAATTTGCTTCAGATTTTGAAAAAAAATTGAAATAATAACCCTAAAATATCAAAGTTATTAATACCTACTCTTAAGAAAAGAGATATACAACTTTTTCCTATATGCCCTATGATGCTTTACATGTATATCAGGGGTTAACAGGGTTTTAAACTAAAAATAACTGAAGTGTTTTAAAATAGGGGTGCAAAGGTGTGCCATTATTCTCCTCACAGTTCATCAACTCAATAATAAAACACATTTTTTTTTTAGAATTAACTAAATCCTTTTAGTGTGTGAATAACCAATGAACTCAAAGGAGCTTTGGCCACATATATGCTTGTTATAATATTTATGTAAAAAAATTATTTTCATGATAGATAAAAATAAACCAAGCCAGATGCACTTCTCATTCAAATTTTACTAAATATTTTTATTATTTGTAATGTAACCTTACTATCTACATTGATTTAAATTATTTCAAGTGGAAGTTCCCCAAACCATAATGTAAAATACAGTATAATTTGTCTTGTCAACCCAAAATTTAAAATACAGTCATGCAATGGTGAAACTAATTCTGTGCAGATCTACCTTGTTTTCAACATGCAAGTCACCATTTTTCTTAGAATTCTTGGAATCACTCCAGTCCAAAAACTTCTCTTTAAAAAGAGTAGTTTCATTGTGCTGAGTTAACCTGCCAAACACAGCCCAGTCTGGTCGTCCCTGGCCTTTCCTATAAACAACACATTTAGAATACAGAATTTATACAAAGCAATGATATCAACCCTATTTTACAAGTAATCTCTTTTCTGCAAAAGTGTAAAAGGGCCATTCACACAGAATGTTTTTCCATTCCAATATGCTACTTTTAAATTGTTTTTTTAATGTAAACAAGCAAATTACCTAGGGGTGGGTGATTCATTGAAATAAAAAAAATAAAAAAATCAATAACCACCTGAAGAAAACACAATCTTTCATTTTTTATTTATCTGACACTTTAACTGACAATGTTTTTGCACCAGGCACATTCTTACAAAAAAATGTAAAATAAAAAAATCCACTATAAAGTGTGTTTGACACAGGTGAGTGGGCTTAACAAATGACCTTCAAAAACATTACAACTTTTCTTTACTCCAGCACCTCATTTTCTGAGTACTAACAGTTCCTCAGTATAATTGGCACTTCTTATGTGTATTGCCTCTTCGTGTTGATTTGCTGATTGTCTCCTCAATTGTAAGTCACTTTAGATAAATGTCTGCCAAACGACTAAAAGTAAATGTATGTAAACATGATTAAGCAAAGCTGCGATGGTAAGTCATGCACATCTTGTTAGGGAAGCAGTTGTGTAAACAGTAGTAAAACTTTTAAAGATGGAGGAGAGACTGTTTCAAGTTATCCAGAGCTATATTTCTTAACAAATCTTAAATTTCACATTATTATTAAATACTGCAGTTATAACAACATAGACAGCAACACTTGCACA